GGGGGACCTCAATTTGAACCTAATGTCTCTCTCTAGTATCTAGTTGTATCTGAAGGACGAGCAAAGCAGGCTAACCAGGGAGCTCCTGAGGAGACCTAAGAGAGGAACTACAGAGATGGCTATTGGCCCTGCCCTTAGCATCTGCTTTGGGTTGAAACATAACAACAAAACAGCCTTTGTTAGGGCATAGAACAGATCCTTCCCTCCTAGCCCTCAGAAGGAACCAACCATAAACTAAACCAAAGTTTGGAAACTTCACAACATTGGTGGAAGAAATTGAAGATGACACAAACAAATGGAAAGTTATTCTATGGTCATGGATTGGAAGAATTAATATTATTAAAATGTCCATATTACCCAAAGCAATCTACAGATTCAATGCAATCCCTATCAAAATAAGCATTTTTTTTTTTTTTTTACAAAATGAGAACAAATAATACTAAAATTTGTATGGAAATACAAATGACCCCGAATAGCCAAAACAATTTTGAGGAAGAAGAACAAAGCTGGAGGTATCACAATTCCAGATTTCAAGATACACTACAAAGCTGTAGTAATCAAAACATATGGTCCTGACATAAAAATAGACACATAGATCAATGAACAGAATAGAGAGCCCAGAAATAAACCCACAATTGTCTGGTCAATTAATCTGTGACAAAGGAGGCAAGAATGTACAATGGGGAAAAGACAGTCTTTTCAATAAATGGTGCTGGGGAAACTGGACAGCTGCATGCCAAAGAATCAAATTGGGCCACCATTTGACACCATACACAAAAATAAACTCAAAATGGATTAAAGAACTAAATGTGAGACGTGACCATAAAATTCCCAGAAAAGAGTACAGGCAGAAATTTCTCTGACACTGGTCGTAGCAACATCCTTCTAGATATGTCTTCTAAGGCAAGTGAAACAAAAGCAAAAACAAACTACTGAGATTGCATCAAAATAAAAAGCTTTCTCACAAGCAAAAGAAAACATCAACAAAACAAAAAGGCAATCTACGGAATGGGAGAAGATAGTTGCAAATTGATATACCCAATAAGGGGTTAATATCCAAAATATATAAAGAACTTACACAACTCAACACCAAAACAAAACAAAACAAAACAAAACAAAACAAAAAACCCAAACAAGAGGATTTAAAAAATGGGCAGAGGACCTAAACAGACATTTTTCCGGAGAAGACACACAGATGGCTAACAGACATATGAAAAGGTGCCCAACATCACTCATCATCAGGGAAACGCAAATCAAAACCACAATGAAATATCACATTACACCTGACCTGTTAGAATGGTTAAAAGAAAGGACAAGAAATAACAAGTGTTAACAATAAGGTGGAGAAAAAGGAACCCTCATACGCTGTTGATGAGAAGGTAATTTGGTGCATTAACTGTGGAAAACAGTATGGAGGTTCTTCAAAAAATTAAAAATAGGAATACTATATAATCTAATAATTCCAATATTGGGTATTTACCCAAAGAATGTGAAAACACTAACTGAAAAAAATTGCACCTCAATGTTTATGCAATGTTTATTGCAGCCTTATTTATAATAGCCAAGCTATGGAAGCAACCTATGTGTCCACTGATAGATGGATAGATAAGGAGGATGTGTATATACACCATGGAATATTACACATAAAAAGGATGAGATCATGCCATTTAGGACAACACAGAAGAATCTAGAGGATATTATGCAAAGTGAAAATAAGTCAGTTTGAGAAAGACAAATGTCATATGATTTCACTCATAAGTGGAATAAAAAAACAACAAAACAAATGAATAAGCTAACAACAAACCAGAATCAGACCTATAAATACAGGGGACAAACTTGATGGTTGCCAGAGGGAAGGAGGGTGCGGTTTTGGGCAAAATGGGTGAAAGGGAGTGGGATATATAGGCTTGTGGTTATGGAATGAATAAGTCATGGCAATAAAGGGCACAGTGGAAGGAATATAGCCAATGATACTGGGTTTTTAAAAAATATTTATTTGAAAGAGAGAGAGAGAGAGAGAGAGCGTGCACTGAGGGGAGGGGCAGGAGAGGGAGAGAGAGAGACTCTCAAGCAGACTCTCTGCCAGTGTGGATCCTGAGGTGGGGCTCAATCCCATGACCCCAAGATCATGACCTGAGTCAAAATCAAGAGTCAGACGCCCACTGGCCGAGCCACCCAGGTGCCCCTATAGTCAATGATATTGTAATAGGGATGTATGGGGACAGATGGCAGCTACACTTGTGAACATAATATAATGTATAAGCTTGTCTAATCACTATGTTGTATACCTGAAACTAATATAACACTGTGTCAACTATATTCAAATTTTAAAAAATTTTAAAATTAAAAAAAAAAAAAAGGACCCAACCCTATCAACACCTTGATTTCAGACTTGTAGCCTCCAGAACTGTGAGACAATACATTTCTGTTGTTTAAGCCACCCAGTTTGTGGTACTTTGTTACTAATACAGCCTCCTTTGTTAATTTGTTACATAACAAATTCTTTGTTACTAACACAGTTCATGTAATAACTAATACAGCCCCCCATTGATAAGCTGCCTCGACTCCCAGCCCCGATAGAGAAGGTGGAACCCCCTTGTAACCTCCCACTTTGGGTCAAAGCTATGCGGAAAAATGCAAGGAGTTCTGAGCCAAGGACAACCAGTCTTAAAGTTGGCCAGGATGTAGGACTGCTGCAGCCTGCCTCAGGGAGATGACACAGGACAATCAAAGCAGTTCTCGGACAACAGGAGGCTGTAGTGGGTCATGAGTGTTAAGCTGGGAGCTCATGTAGACCCTAGCATGTGGCTGCCCTTTGGGGTTGTGTATAGGATGAGAAAGCAGAGGAAGCTGGTCAAAAGAAAGTAAGAAGAATAGAGAGAGGCAAGCTGACGAGAGAGACAGACACAGAAAGACGGGCTGGGCCCTCTAGCTGTTTCGTTTCTGCTTTTCCTGAAGCCAGATTTCTCTGGGTTCCTTCATGCATAGCCTTTAATAAACTGCCCCCCTTTCACTCTAGTAACTTGACTGTTCTCTTCCTTGCACCTAAAGTGGTGTGAGCATGACAGCTCGGAGAAGAGACTTCAGTCCCTAGAGAAGACTATAAATAGCAAAGTAGTGACTAGGACATTTCACTTGGTCCAGCTCCCCATGTTCTCCTGTCTTAATCTGAGAAATAGCAGAGTGAGTTAAAAACTAAGAAATTGCTTTTTCTAAAAGCCCTAAGATATTAGGCACTAGGTAGAATTGTTCTGGAACCCTGTGACAAAGCATAGCCTGAAAAATGGAGAGAAAGGTGGGGGCAGGGGTAAGGGAATGAGCATAGCGATGAAGCTAGAGCCTGGAAGGGTTCTGGGGACCCAGTCCTGAAGGCCTTACAGACCCGCTGAAGCAATCTGGCCTTTTCCCAGAGAAGGAGAGTGGCCCAAACTGATACGCATTTCAGAAAGATGAGGATACCAGCAGCACGTGGGATGGATTTGAGGGGAGCAAGACTGGAGGTAGGGACCATGACTAAGAGGCTGTCGCAGGATCCAGCCATGAGGTGATGGTGGCCTAAGATGAGGACAGGGCCCTGGAGGAGGAAAGAGGAAGGGATTGAGGGAAGAGACGTTGAGGGGGTAACACTGAGTGGACCCGGTGAACGTAGAGCCGGTGGGGAGGAATGGATAAGGCCCTACTCACTGAGGTGAACGGCGGGCAGAGACGAGTCCCTGGGGCCAAGGACCAAGGCAGCATATTTCTGACCCTAATCACTCCAAGAACCAGTTCCTGACATTTGAGACCTGGCTCCTCCAGCATGGCCCCAACCCCAGGGGCTGAAGGCATACGAGAGCCCTGCAACAGCAGAAAGGCTGCTCTCCAGGCTGCTGCGGGCTCAGAGCCTGGCGCTAGAGCTCAGGGTTTACACCTTCAGGAGAATCGAATCTCACTAATCACGTATGTGACAAAGGCCTCAGCTATAAACAACATTAATGAAGACAAATGAAGGGGCCAGACGCGGCAGCCCGCACAGTGGCTCCCAGGGCCCTGCCTCACAGGGAGGCTGCTGAGGTGCGTGGGCACCTCACTTTTGGCCGCAGCTCTTTGCCTTGCCTGGTGGAGATGTAGGAGAAGCCTCTCACCGAGGGGGCGCCTCAGCCACTGCCTGGACAGCCTGGGCTTGAGGACAGGCCGTGCATGGCCAGGGGGCTTTGAGGGATGTCTAAGATTCTAAGAGCATGTTTACACAATTTTACGAAAGCTATCTTAGGGAAGATATGCAAGTAGAGCTTAGTTGGATATGGTCTGATCGTGTTAAATAAACAAGCTCCCTGTATCCCATTGGTTGCTGATTGGGAACGTAGCTATTAGAATTTTAATTCTATCCAGTGAGTAACCGTACCCAGACAGGCATCCAACCGAGTGCCATGAATCGGTCCTGCATCCAGGATGGGGTTGGCTCTTAGCTCATTCCCTCCCCCCCATCCAAGGCTGCTGGTATCTGCCCATCCATTTCTTTTTGTGACAGAAAACATTCGACTTTGGGAGTTTTGCTCCCCCCACCTCCTGGGGGACCATAGCCAACAGATAAGAAGAAGGCATTTATAAACCAAGCAGCCTAGGACTAGGCCTGGTGACGTGGCTGTGGCTCTGTCCTGGCCCTGGCCGGCGGGGATGGGGCGGGGGCAGGCCCCACCATGCCAGGCTGGGTTTTGATGCCTAGAACCAGCTCAGACAACCTCCAGAGGTGGAAAAGACAGCAGTCTAATGTGCCTTTGGTGATAGGACCTTAAAAACTGCCCCATTCACAGGCAAAAGTGTTTGTCATAAAAGCATCCAGACTTGGCAGCAGGGAGACTCTCATCACCATTTCAGCATTGGCTCTGTGAAATTCAAGAGACTGCAGGGAGGACAACCTCTCTCCCAAGGGAGGTCTCCAACAGGACACTAAAAGACCCCTCATCAGAGTCCAAATGAAACATTCTCAGAATTTCCCGACATGAATTAAACAAGCCAATTTTATTAGATCAATATGAAGGGATTTGAAACAAATTAACCAGTGTGGAGATCAGATGAGCCAATGACAGCGAGACAATGGAATGAAAACTTGGCTCGTCCATAAAAGGCCTGCCTGAATTCAGACACTGTAATAATACCGGGTCTCACTCACTGTGGAGGAAATTCCAATTGTTCAGTAAAAGAAAGTAAGGTGGGTGACAAATCCACTGTCACCAGCAATCTTCTTCAGGGAATATCCTCTTCATGACACTCCAATTGATTTTCTATTCCTGGAAGGAACAGAAGGAAGCAGAAGTGATCAGAAAACATAAATATCTTTTAATAAAGCCAGGCAGGATTCTGGAAGAACACATGTGTACAAGAGAAATAAACAAGAAAAATAATGCACTTGGGAAAATGAGTTTCCAGCATCAACACGGTGACTGAGACAATAAAACTGGGATGGGAAACAGCGTGGAGCCTCTTACCACATGGCTTGCCTGGCAGCCACATCCTCAAGGCAGAGGCAGGGGAAGCTCACGTGTGGGGGAGCCAGTTTCCTCCTCTCCTGAAACAAACATTTGGGTCAGATGAACTCTAAGGTCCCTTCTGGCCCCAAGATGCTACTATTCATTACTACAGTAATGCCCCCTTCTCCATGGTTTTGCTTTCTGAGGTTTTAGTTACCCATGGTCAGCAGCGATCCGTGGTCGGCCGTGGTCCAGGAGCAGATGATCCTCCTTCTGAAGGTCAACAGTGAGACTTTCTCCTGTCGCTGAAGGTCAATAGTAGCCTAACGCTATGTCACAAGGCCTGCCTCGTTCACCTCACTCATCTCATCGTGTAGGCATTTTACCATCTCACATCATCACAAGAGTGAGTTTGGTACAATAAGATCTTTTGAGAGAGAGAGAGACCATATTCATTATTAGAGTATATTGTAATTGTTCTATTTTATGATTACTCTCTTACTGTGCATAATTAATAAATTAAGCTTTATCACAGGTATGCATGTATAGAAAAAACATAGTATACAGTTCTGATGCTTAGATAGTACTCTCCACAGTTTCAGCCACCCACTGGGGGGCCTGGAACGTATCCCCTGGGTGGATAAGGGAGGACTATTGCATTCCAGAGCTACCCTGAGAGAGGCCCAGGTCGGCTTTGACAGAGAACTGGTGATAACTGTATTGTGGGAGGACAGAGCGGGGGCTTCTAAATCAGGGCTAGACCTGACCTCCACCCACTCTCTTCACTTCATTTATCAGAATCTTCTCAGGACCCAGTCAGGTTTTATCATATTATTTTATACCAGCCTAAAGCTAGGCTGTCCATGTGGTGGCTCAAAATGTACGCATCCCTCATGTCTCCTGAAGTGGTGAAAAGCCCTCAGCTTTCGGAGTCAAAAAGGACTGGATTCAAATCCCCACTACATCACCAGCTAGCTGTGTGATTCTAGACTAGTCACTTCCACGTGATGGAGGATCAGGCAGCCATTAAGAAGAACGAAGTGGCTCTGTAAGGACTTACATGGAGAAATGTCCACAATGTATTATTTAATAGTACACCAAAAGGTGGAAGCAACCCAAGTGGCTATCAATGGATGAATGGACAAACAAAATATATATATATGTATATATATATATATTATATATAAAAGTAAGGAATATTGTTCAGTGGGATATTATTCAGCTGGGATATTATTCAGCCTTTAAAAGGAAGGAAATTCTGACATATCCTATAACATAGATGAACCTTGAAGACAGCACGCTAAGTGAAATAAGCCAGTCACAAAAGGACAAATCCTGTATGATTCCATTTATCTGAGGTGATCAGATTCACAAAAATGGAAAGTAGAGTCGGTGGCTACTAGAGGTGGGGTGGGGTAGGGGAGAATAGGGGCACAGTGTTTAATGAGTACAGCTTTTCAGTTTGGGAAGATAAAAAAGAGTTCTGGAGATGGATGGTGGTGACAGTTGCCCAACAATGTGAAGGTACTTAATGCTGCTCAACCGTACACTTAAAAGTGGTGAAAATGGTAAAATTCTATGTGATGTATGTTTTCTACAATAAAAAAGGTAAATAGCAGAACAGTAAATATGATATGATCCCATTTTGGTTACAATTTTTTTCCATCTCTATATTGTCTATGAACAGAGGAAGGTCTGGAAGGATACATACCACACTGGTCACCATGGTTACTTTGGGGGAGTGGGGTTGGAAAGGGGTGCTGACGGATACTATGATTTACAAGTTACATGTGTCTCAAAGCACAAGAGCTTGCGTTCAGTTTTGACAGGGCAATGCCAATCAAGTCTGACACATTTCTGATCAGAGCCCATCCAGACCCGCAGACTCTGGTTACTCCTTCCTGGAATGCGGTCTGTGGCTTTCCATTTTTTACCAAGTACAATCCAAACCCCTTAGCCTGGTATTTCAAGCCCTGCAACCAGCCTCTTACCCTTCCCTTTTAACTGCCTCCATGCACTCCTATCACAACCATTCCCTGCTCCCTGAGCACAGTTCTTCACCGCTGTGGCTTTGACCAAACCATTCTCTCTCCCCACTGTCCTCCCCCTCGGTCTCGGCCTCCCGATACCTCATCCATCCTTCGGGGACACAGTCTCTGAATCCCTCCGGTGGAAGTGATTTCTCCTTCCTCCCTCAAGGCAATCACGACATCGAGCTCATCTCTGACTGGTCTGTGCATATACGTCTTCTTTCCCCTCATGGACCCGACACTCCTTGAGAGAAGGGACTGGGCTTTATGCAGCCTGGTGTGTAAGGCACCTCCCACAGTGTAATCGTACAACAGCAACAATGGGGATGGCGGGGAGCGCACACACGGTGCCACCCGCACGACCCCGAGCGCAAGTGCCTCCTTAAATGTTGCACCCTCGGCACCTGGCTCACCTCACTTAGTCCCAGCCGCTAACCATTCACTGAGTGCCTGCACGCCAGGCACCGACCTCACCAGATTTCTGTGGTATAGGTGGTATTATCCCCATTTTGCAAATGAAGAAACGGTGGCGTAGAGATTAAATAACTTGCCTAAGATCATATCGCAAAAATGGGAATTTGAACTCAGGCCTGACTTTCTAAAACATATGACCCCAATAATTACAATAGACTGCCTCACCGGTAGGCTTGCACATGCAGTAGGAGCTCAATACTTGAGTGTTTAATGACTTCAATTGGAGAGAGGGCAGCATGCCACCGGGAGAGTGCAGGGATGGATGACACAGTGCTGTGAAAAACTTCGGTAAGCGCTAGAAATATCAGCTCGTTCCTGCTTGCCACATTCAAAAGAAAACCCCATCCTGGTTCTACTGCTCTGTTCAAACACAGCTTTCTCTTCACTCTCTTCCTCAATCAATTTCAACACCCATTTTCTCTCCAACAGAAGCCTCATCCTCTCCCCCAAAGAGCCAGGCTCTGCTTATATCTTAGAACCTCTCGGATCCTGTCCTCAGACCTGCAGACTTGATTTGGCCACTCGACCTTTTGTGCTCTCCAGCAGCACTGCTGGTGCAGAACATGGGAAAGACTCTCGGACCCTGAGAAGAGATTCCAGGGGCTCTAGGAAGGGCAGGAAGGAAGGGCTGCCTGCTGCTGAGGGAAGTGGGGACCCGTGTGCATCAGTCCTTCCTCAGGAGCACACGGACCCAGCACGTGGTGTATCGAGACCTGCGCTGCGTGCATACGGCCCCTGAAAAAGGTGGCTAGTCCGAACGGAGATATGCTCTAGGTATAAAACCGGATTCCAAGGCTTAGCAGAAAAAAAAAAGACTGCAAACTCTTGCATAAATAATTTTTAATGTTGATGACATGTTAAAATGGTAAGATTTTGGATAATTAGATTCCATATACATATTGTTAAAGTTACTCTCACGGTTTCTTTCTAGGTTTTTATTTTATTTATTTATTTGACAGAGAATGATGGAGACAGGGAGAGAGAGAGAGCATAAGCAGGGGAAGCTGCAGGCAGAGGGAGAGGGAGAAGCAGACTCACCGCTGAGCCGGGAGTCTGATGCAGGGCTTGATCCCAGGACCCTGAGATCATGACCTGAGCCGAAGGCAGCCACTTAACTGACTGAGCCACCCCGGTGCCCCTCTATTTTTTTTTAATATGACTAGAAAATAGGAAATTACACATGTGACACATTTCTGATCAGAGCCCATCCAGACCCGCAGACTCTCTTTCAGACCCACGCCTTACCCAAACACTGGGGGGGTCCCAGCTGCCTGGACTCAACTTAATCCCACTTGGACTTTCTGTACAGCCCCATCTATAGTGACCCATACTCTGGAATTTAGAAGCGTCCTGGCCTCTGAAGCCAACTGCAGAGTTTGAGAATAAGAAGTAGCTGGATCTTGTGCATTCGCTCATATTTCCCTCTCCGGCCCAGCTCCCTGGCTTCTTTCATTTAGGACAGTAGTCTCAACATATGGTCCCTGGACCAGCAGCACTGCATCACCTGGGAACTTGAACTTCTTAGAAATGCAATTATCAGGCACCATTCAGAAATTCTGATTCAGAAACTGTGGGGATGGGCCCAGCAATCTGATTTTTAGTAAGCCCCAAATGTTATTCCGATACATGCTAATGTTTTCTTTTTTCCTTTTTTCAAGTTTTTATTTAAATTCCAGTTAACATACAGTGTAATATTAGTTTCAGGTATAGAATTTTGTGATTCATTGCTTACATATAACACCCACTGCTCATCCCAACAAATGCTCTTCTTAATGCCCATCAGCCATTTAGCCCACCCCCACCCACCTCCCCTCCAGCCACCCTCAGTTTGCTCTCCATAGTTAAGAATCTGTTTTCTGGTTTGCCTCTTTTTCCCCATGTTCCATCTGTTTTGTTTCTTAAATCCCACATGAGTGAAATCATGGTATTTGTCTTTCTCTGACTTATTTTGCTTAGCATAATACACTCTAGCTCCATCCACATCATTGCAAATGGCAAGATTTCATTCTTTTGATGCCTGAGTAATATTCCATTGTATATATATATACCACATCTTCTTTATCCATTCACCAGTTGATGGACCTTTGAGCTCTCTCCATAATTGGCTATTGTTGATAATGCTGCTACAAACATCCGGGTACACGTGCCCCTTTGAATCAGTATTTTTGTATCCTTTGGGTAAATACCTAATAGTGCAATTGCTGGATTGTAGGGTAGTTCTAATGCAGATGTTCTAAAACTGTCTTAGTGCACTGTTTCTCAAACTTTGCTGCATATTAAGACCACCCGGGGAGCTTTTAATCTGGGCTTTCCCAACGCCCAGATCACACCCCATGACAAGTAAATCAGAATCTCTGGGGGTGGGACCCAGGCATCAGTTTTTTAAAAACCCCTCCCTTGATTTCAGTGTGCAGCTAGGGTTGAGCACCATCGTCTAAGAGTAAAGGACTTGAGAATTATCAGCCAGAGCTGGGCAGGCTGCAGTATGTGAGACAACCTTACTGGGGGAGGGGATGGGGGAAGACAGGGCAGTGCATTTTCTAATGGCACGAGAAAGAGGCTGAACTGCACACGCCCAGCCTAGAAGGTCTCTTTCATTAGGTCAGCCACTGTAATGAAACAGGGTTTAGTTCTTTAGATTTTCTGAAGTTGAAATGACATGCAGAAAGAGAACAGATTTTCCCACAGTCCACCCAGAGGAGAGGTCAAGAGAGGCCTCGGTCCAGGTATGTTTAAACAAAGAGATGTCTCAATAGGGTTCCAAAAATTGTGATACATTTTAGAAACTTACATTTATTAAATTAAGGCTTGTAACACATGTAAAATTTAAAACATACACAAGGCAATGTAATCATTCTATTCACAATGTAATAGCAGGATTTATTTTTAAAATCCATGGGCATGGTACCAAAATTTGGCAGAA